TGCAAGAGTAATGGGGTGACGCGTGTGCGGGAAGACGAGTTCGCGACAGTGAAAGCTGGAGCTCGGGCGGGCCCATCTGCGGGCTTGGCGGCAACCTCCGGGAATTACGTCGTTCATGCAGGTACGACCGACGCTAACGCTGTCGTCACCCGTCCCAACCCTCACGCTTTCCCTGCCACATCTTGAACTCAGACACTAGAGACCGCGATCCGCGGCAAACACTGCATTGCTGCGAGCGTACCACCTCATAAAAAAGAAAATCCGAACAGGTCTAGAGCCTACATTGACGTTAGGTTACCTACTTTGCATGTTTTTATCTTGATGTAGGCTCCACAGTGTTTAGAGTTTTCCTTGAATAAGGTGGTACGCTCGAGATACAAGGCCTTGCTATCATAGCCATGAGTCTACTGTACTCACCTTCGAACAACATCAAAGATTGAAGATGCGATGCGTGCTGCATGTCTTGAGGTAGAGCGCGGACCGCATATCTATATAAGCTACCGCCGGCAGACAGTCGCACACTAGGAACGTAGTAAGCACGTTTTATAATAACACAACCTCATGTCTCACGGCGGCATCTTCAAGGAAGACTCGCTGATACTGCCGCAGCGGCTGGCCTAGATGGAGACGCAGTCTCATCCAGCACAGCTCATAGAACTGCTTGTTAACGAATGGCAGCTCAGCGGCAGTGGCTACCTCCCTCATCAGTCGCACAGCCACCGCGGAAACGATGACGAAGCGCATCGCCTTAAAGGGATCTGCTCCGGCATCGACTCCATTCATCCATCAGGAATAGAAACACAAGCTAAGGCTTTAAGAAGTAGGCGGCTCCGCTGTGCTCAGGCGGGTCTTTGGGTGGCTCCCACTCTCTCTGTTGTAGATGACAAATCGCCTGAATCTCCAGCCTCCTCTACTATCTCGTCGAAGTCGGCAGGGTAAGAGCTCCGGAAATAGTAGAACTCGCCAATCTCGACCCGCTCGATATCCGTGTCGAAAGCGATCATGCAGTGGCCGCGATCGCTAAACTCAGCAGTCCAAGTTGGGAAAGGCTGAACGCGTACTTGCTGTATTTACGCATCTCTTCCTGCCGTCACCCGATCAAGATGTTTGGGTCAAGGCTTCTCTTTCTGTTCCAGAGTCAAGCTATCTCGATCAAATAGGATGTGGCCACAACCATCCACTTACCTGGGCCAGCATACCATTTTCTCCCGCGTCCAATCTCACCGCTCGAATTGCTTCTCATAGCTCCTCCTTAGCATCTCTCGTCTATCATTAATTCCATCCGCACTTGTCATGGCGGGCCAAGCTGCGGCTTCGGACGTGCCTCTTGTGGAGCAACCCGAGAAGCATACCAAGCCCAAACGTCCTCACAAGCCTGCGAAGCCCGGACATCATGGCAGGCCCGTACCACCACTGCCTGTCGAACCGCCTCCTAACCCATATCCTGAAGACACCGACACAGCTGCACCTGAGCCAGATGATGAGCCAGAACCACCGGAACTCGATTTCAAACCTCCTCCCAATCCACCAGAGGAGGGCCCTGGTGAAGCTCAGACTGATGGACCTGCTGAAGAGGCACCTGAAGCTACCCCAGAAGAGCCTGCAGCTGAGCCTGCAGCTGAGCCTGAAGCTGAGCCTACCCCGGATCAACCTCCCGCAGATCCTGCACCTGGGCCGGATACAGAACCTGAAGTTGCCCCCGAAGAACCACCAGCAGACCCACCAGCCGAAGAGCCTGAAGCTGCAACCGAACCTCCTGAGCCTGTAGAGGAGCCCCCTGAGGAAAAGCCGTCTGAACCTGCCGCTGAACCAACACCTGAGGGCGCACCGGAAGAGCCAGCAGCACAGCCTCCAGCTGAAGAGCCCGAAGCTGCTCCTGCTCCAGTCCAGCGTTCGGCAGATCCTGCACCTGAACCTGTCCCCGAGGAGCCTACAACAGAGCCACCAGCTGCCGAGCCCAAAGTTGAAACACCCGAGGAGGCTACATCAACAGAACCTGAGCCGGAAGCAGAGCCAACGTTGCAGGTGCCTGCTACAGAGCCCGTTGAGACAGCACCCGTAGAGCCTCCACCACCAGCTGCCGAGCCTGAACCTACGCCCGCGCCTGTCGAGAGTGCAGCCGAACCGGAAGCACCATCTGAACCAGTTCCAGATGCACCAACAGAACCTCCACCCGCACCACCTGTCGCGGAAGAGCCCGAGGCAACACCGGCGGCTGAACCTGAGGTTGCACCGGTGTCTAGGGCAGTAGAGCCAGAAGCACCAGCAGAAGCAGCACCCGAACCGGAGGCAGCACCTGCATACACTGCCGCAGAGACCGAAGACCTGCCTCCTCAACCTCCAGAAGCGCCAGCGCCGGAACCGGCACCGTCTGTAGCAGAAACGGAGGCACCAGCCCCTTCCGTAGCCACTACTGCCACGTGAGTACACCAATTTCTCCTCCGATATCGCTATACTACACTACCCTTACTTTCATACTAACATCCACCAGCAAAACCCGCAAACGCGACAAAGTCAAGCTTCTCGCTGCAATGCGCGCACCGCCCGAGTCCGTCCCTATAATGGTGCTTCTCCGCCAGAAGAAGAAGGCTGGTGAGGACGTCAAGGCCATTGCCGATGCCATGCTCGCGGCTGCGGGATCTTGAAGTGAATTGGAAGATTGGTATTTGGATCGTGGTGGTGAACTTCAAGTCCACCTAAGAATACCCTCTACCTGGCTTTGACTACCTCTCCCTATGTAGATGCTACTCGTACCTCAATGCCATCATTACCCTTGTCTTCGTTTACGTGTAACGCCTCTTCTCTGCTTCATACCGTACATGATAAAGGCCGAAGTGCTCGTAGCATGCTCTTCTTTACCTACTACAACACTTGTAAGAAGGTTACTGTGTTGATACAAATGTAGCCCAGATGGCTACGATTCCCTGGAGCCTTCAATAAGATCTTCCCATCTATCGATGTAGACTGTAGTACAAGAGATGCACCTGGTGTCTCTTGTTCAGATTCTGTCTTGTATACTGCAACTCCGCGCAAGAAGTTACTACTGACATGCAGCGACGTGTATGTAGACACCATAATGTCTCCCTCCGTATTGACGTTCCTCAACACCCAGCGCATAAGCTCGGCCATCGACCATGACCCCAGACACGGCTCGCTCTTAACCTTCGCCGCCAAGTCCCCTCTTCTCGCGCTGGGCTCCTCCCAGCAATTCTCTATGCCTCCACTCATAGTATTGTAATCTCATCCTCAACCCCACCCTCTTCAACCCCCAACAGCCTTCCTAACCAAACTCCTCGCTTCCTCCAGGCCTCTGCCCAACTCTCCCCTCTTATGCGCCTCCTTGACCTCGTAGTGGTATCTCAGCAGGTCTTTTGCGCGCTTCAGCTCTGGGTCTTGCTCCTCGTCCACCGTTGTTGTCGTTGTTGGGTCTGTTATTGGTGTCTTTGCGGCGGTACCGTGAGAAGATGGGGGTGATGTGGAGGTAGAGGTATTCGAGTGCGCGGATACGAGGGCGAGTGCTGCGGCGGGGTCCTACACATGCGAATCTGGATTAGAAAGGGTACAGGTTTGCTGGTGTAGGAAGGGTGACGTACACAGACGCGCAGGGAGACGAGGTCAGATAGTATTTCCGCGAGTTGCATTGTGTTTCCTTGGGTTTGCGCCATATCTGCGATTGCTGACGAGAAACCTGAAACCTGTTTGGTCGTGTTTGGCAACAGCTGTGTAATGCAGCGTGTGCGGGTTCTGATAGTTTGGTTACGATGCGAGCGCAAGTGGCATGCATGGCCTGGAAGCTCTGACGTTCACCCCACATCTCGGTTCCCAACTCCCCGTCGCGGGCAGGGGCCCAGCTTAAAACTCCCCCGTCAATTGCCGGCTCAGTACTTTGCCGAAGACGGTGTGCGACCTTTGCTTTCAATCATTTCTGCCTGATTTAGGTCATTGTCTTGAATACGTTCGTTGGTTATCATTATGGCGAGTATCCAGGCTATCAGGGCAAATTGCCGCAAGGTACGTGATTTCGTGTCATGTTCGCGCTATCAACGGGTTAAGAGAAGAAGAAAGGGTTGGGAAGTCGCGTGAAAGTGAGAGTTGCAGTTGTAGAGTTGCTCACTTGTCATGATGTGTGAAGGCATGTGCTAAAGAGATGGCACACGTGTCATGAAGTTTGGGTTTGGGAGCCTTGAAGAGCGATGTTTGGCAAAGACACTCTTCGTGTGTTCTAACGTATCACAGGTTATGTGCATAGGCAGAAACTATGCAGACCACATCAAGGAGTTGTCGAGTGCTACGCCTAAGCAGCCCTTCTTCTTTCTGAAGCCACCGTCGTCTATCTTGCTGCCGGGCGCTGGCCCCGTCCTACGCCCACGTGGTGTAAACATGCACTATGAAGTTGAGCTTGGACTTATCATGGGAAAGACATTGCGCGATCTGCATCCTGAAGATACTAAGGGTGCTATGGATGCTATCGAAGGTACTTAGAACGCCATACATCCAGCCAAATATAACAGTATATCGAGATCCATCCGACTAACATTCACGACCCAGGCTACATTCTCGCTATCGACATGACAGCCCGTAACGTGCAGGACGAGGCGAAAAGAAAAGGACTCCCATGGTCTATCGCAAAAGGCTTCGACACGTTCATGCCCATCAGCAACTTCATCGCGAAAAACAGAATCCCAGACCCACAGAAAGCACACCTTTGGCTTTCAGTCAACAACGAGATGAAGCAGTCCGACAACACTGAGCTGATGCTTTTCCGGATCCCAAGACAGCTGAGCGACATTAGCAGGGTCATGACACTGGAGAAGGGCGACATCGTACTTACGGGAACCCCCAAGGGTGTAGGCCCAGTGAAGACGGGTGACGTTATGCGTGCAGGGCTGAAGGTCGACGGAAAAGATATCGAAGAGGCAAACCTGGAGGTGCCAGTTGCGGATCGCGAGGGGTTGTACGAGTTCAGCGAGACATAGAGTCAGTTCCCTAATAGAGGGCAATCAATGAGGCTCGTTTGCTTCCGATGGATACCAAAAATCATCGAGTTCCGATACCTCTTGTTTCGTCCTAGGAGGATTTTTTCTAGTGCCAGACCTAACAACTGGCTCAGCTCGGCTGCCCGTATTGCGCGAACTCGGAGGCTTAGGAATGGCTTTCAAACGTGATAGTGGTGGTGCTGCTGCCTTGCGAGGTGACTTCTTAGCTCTGTCTGCTACAGTAGTTTGCATATCATCGCTCTCGCTATGTTCAATTCTTTTCGCTTTTTGTGGACTGCGTAGAATGACAATGAGCGACTTTTCCTTCGGTTCATTCGCAGTACTCCATTGAAATGGTGAGGGTAGTCTGATAGGCGCAGTGGTGGCCTTGGGTACTTTTGACTTGATAGGGCTTCTCGTGACCAACTGAGTAGGCTCAATCGCCGTGTTCTTGCTTTGATTTGCAGGAGCATTGCGCTTTGCGGTCGCAGGAGCTCTACCGGTGGGCCGAATCGCTGTGCTGGATCTGGTCTTGATATCGTCTAATCCTTGATCATGGGCAGTCTTTTGCTTCTTGCGCAATGAAAGAGCTGGCTCGACCAACTGTGTTGGTGGGAGGAGTGATTCGCTACCTGTTACATGCGACTTTCGCTCTTCAGCATCCTGTTCTTGAATCTTCTTGGCTTGAGCGCGAGTCAGCCTTTGGGTCTGAGGCTCCTTCGTAGGCTGCTTTCGCTTTCGTGTAATGGCGTTGCCGGTCAGCTGCGTTGGAGGCGGAGCGACTCTGGCACGTGGGCGAGGCTTTCGCGTAGGAATTGGCACTGGAGCTGGAGCCGAAGGATGAGTCGGGCGGTTGTGATGGACCAGCTGCGTTGCAACGGGAGCAGCGTATACTGGTTGAATAGGCCTTGGAACAGGTGTTCGCACTTGTCTCTGTTCATCTAGCGGATGTGGCAACATGGAGTTGTGGATCGAAGGTCTCTGCATCAGTCTCTGTCTTGCTGACTTCACTGGGTGACCTGGAGGCACAACTGGATTAGACGTATCGACTGGTCCCCTGAAATAGTCGTTAGCGTTGCAAAAGGTCGTTCCGAAAGCCGCTCTTACCTTTCTCTCATCTCTGGACTCTGGGGTACTTGAATTTCTTCACGTGCAAACCCAGGCATGAGTATCAGGTCTTCATCGTCCGTGTCACTTGTTACTTCTGAAGTTCCGGCATTGAATAACTGAGACGGTGTCACGGATCCCAGCATGCCATGCCGAGGCCTGGAAACGGTCTGTGGGCCAGCGGTGTTGGACTTGGACTTGGACTTGGACTTGGACTTGGGATCCTGCCGCGTAGATTTGAGCCGGGTGACTTCTTGCTCTAAACTTTTGATCCGACGCGCGTCTTGATTACGACCAGCTTCGAGAAGATCAAGACGTCGAAGAACACCATTCAGTTCCCTGGGGACCTGTTTGAGCTTGTCCAGATCGTCCACAGCATGAGAAACGACATTATCCAGCTCGATCTGCTTCTGCCTGACGTGCTTGTTCGTGTCGACGAAGATGCCGAGGCGTGTCATCTCGCCTGCTGCCCACTTCTCGAAAGCCTTGTCGTCATCTTCGGCTTCGATCGCTGCAAGTTGTTGCTCCAAGTGACGGACCCTCGACGTAGCAGCTTCGGCAGCCTCTGCAACGTGTTCGGTAGATCTGATGCGGGCTTCGTATTCTTCATGATGCTTCTGAAGTGTTCGCATCTCCGTGAGCAGGTGGGCGTGCTGTTGTTTCATCTCTGGCCCCCATAGCAGCGCCTCCGCCGATGCGAACGGCATACGTGAGTCGACATCTGTCGCCGAACTAGGTCTTCTGGGACCCATTGCGAGGGGATGCGAATCAGTGACGATAATGCGTTAGCTAGTGCGATGCGGTGACGAGGGCAGGTAATGTCGCCGGTGAGGCCAGGTAGAAAACGCTAACCGCTACATGAGAGGTGACGAGAATGACCGGCTGTGTGCGCCGTAAGATGAGAGGCGATATTCGCGACGCGATGGTGGGTCCAGACGAGAGAAGCAGGCACGAGGTTGGGTGTGGCTTCCTCAGTCGAGCAGCTTCACCGAGCTGGCACATCTCCGCCACCCCATCAAGGGATAGACTGGACACCACCTATAGACGTGAATAGAAGCAAACAACCTGGAAATCTGCATCAAGTTAATAGTTTGCTGACTTCCGTTCTGATAACAACGTAGACTGCAGCGCACCTGCAAAGGTTCCTTTTCAACGTGGTGCGCCAACACATTAACCGCAACGCCTTAACGAAGACCAGATCAGAAGACAGTTAATGAAGTAAACTCTTTCTTATTTCATGCTACCTACTGGGTACCCCCCACTTCCACTCAATCAGATCAAGCAGTACGCTTCGGTCCTTTCGGCGCATCTATTACATCATCTCTCTTCATGATGCGAATCTTCGTGTCTTTCTTTGCGCTATCTCCATCCGATTCGGATTCCTTTGGCCGTTCCGCCACACTCTTGTCGTAGCTACTCGGGTCGATACCAAGAATGCCACCTACGTTGTTGCGGTCACCAGGGACAGAGAATTCGCGGAAAGCATAGCGCCATTCGTTTAAGAAGCCGCGAATAGCCTTGCCAACTTTGTCCTTGCCGTTCTTGGAGTGGTGACCTGTTCCTGTAATAGCGTAGACTGGACGCGAAGAAGAGCTGTGCTTTAGAAGGATGCCTTCGAGATACGAAACCGACTCATCTGGATGCAGACCTGTGTAATGTTAGTCTCGGTATGAACACATAATCTGTATCTACGTACCATGAAGATCAACATACAGCTCTCTCGAGCCGTCGCTATCCTTATTGCGATCTTCGTAAAGGATACGAGCAGCTTCACGGTGAGCTTCACGCATCAGGTTGTTCTCACTCTGCCCCCTAAGACTAAGAGCTTTAGCCGCGCGCGAATCGCTGCGATTCCAAGCTTGAGCAGCGCTGTCGTATGTTAGCGGTGGAATGTTGTAGGACGAGGCATGCCTCTTACCTCTGCAAAAACTTGTTGCGCAGACTGCCATGCTTGAAAGCCTCGGCGCGAGCTTTGAGATAGGCCTGATTGCCTTTCTCACCCGTCTCTAGCCATGGAATGTGCTGGGGAGCGGGTATCGCCTGGGCAGCCACACTGTTCTCGCGAGATCCTGTGAAGCTCTTAGTCGGTCTCAATCCCTTGCGAGCTGGAGTGGCAGGAGCCGGAACAGGCGACATGCGAACGACATCTGCAAGATTGTTAGGTCCTGGAGCATCTTTATGATGGCCATGTCCACCTCGCTTGCCGTGGTGACGCTTCCCAGTCTTAGCAGCAGCAGCGGAACCCAGACTAGGGAAAGCGTCGTTATCGTCGACTGCAAGCACCGAAGGTGTGGTGGCACGCGAAGTCTGGCGACTGCCGGTTCTAGACTGCGGGCGACTGCCGCCTCCGGGAGTGAAGTTTGCAAAAGGACTAAGTCCTGGTGGAGGGCGTGTGGGGCCACCACCTGTCAGACCGTAGAGCTGTTCCAAAGAGGTCGCGGCTGATGTTATGGATGGTGTGCCTAGGGGAGAGCCATTGTAGTGGAGTGTGGGGAACTCATAATCGGACATCTGGAAGTTGGGTATTGGTGGAGTTTGGACGTCCGACACAGCCATACGAGCCATGAGCGCAGAGGGGTCATGTGAGAAGAGGCATGTATCGCCAGCTAGGCAGTTGCCATTCAGAAAGTACCTGTGTTGGGTATTAGCCTGGACTACCTAGAGAGCTGTATATATACCTACTTGCACAACGTCTTGCTGGTGTCATGGCTGAATCTGCAGTCTGCTCGGGCGCAATGTCCAGTTGACAAGAAGTACTTGCACACGATGTTGCTCTTCTGTTGGCCCACGGGTGTACTAGGCCTGAATGCTGGGCTCATAGACTTCCCGATGACGTATCCTGGGTGCTCGGAGGGTGTGGTAGGGAGTTGTTGTACGTCCAGTTGCTGTCCCATGAGTGCGAGGAGAGCGGCACTGAGGTCGTAGCCATTGGCCTCCAAAACCTTCTCCAGCTCTTCGTCTGATCGGTCGTCCCTGAGAATCGAGCGCAGCATGTCGTATGGGCCCATGTCCATGGTCTGGGGCTGCACCCATTCGGCCGCGGCACCGTTGAGCGTGCCGTCGCCCAGGAGAGACGACTCAGTGCTCGCGGCGTCATCGTTGACTAGCCAGTCGACGGAGTGGCCATCGAGGTCGCCATACGACTCGGTGTTGGGACTTGCGCATTCGCTGAACTGGTATGCGCTCAGGCTGGGGCTGTGGGGGATATGCGGTGTGGAAAAAGCAAGGCGAGGCGAGGGTCGCGGGGAAGTAAAGGGGGACGCGGTGGACGACTTTGTGCGCGCGAATCCAGGTGGCATGGGGAAGCCCGGCGGAGGGTGTACCATGCGCGGCGAGGCGTTGACAGGAGTAGGGGCGCGATTGGCCTGCCAGGGAGCTGGCGAGGGCCGGCGGATGATGGTATGGCGGCTGGGCGGAGAGCTGGAAGAGCTGCCGGCGTCGCGATAGCGCCAGAGGCAGTCTAGGACAATGTTCTCGAGTGATTTGCCCGTGAGGTTGGTCTCCTTGCGCATCAGCTCCTCGAGCTTGTCCGTCTTGTCCTCCTCGTCCAGGGCCTCGTCCTGCAGCACAGGCAGCGCCTTCTCGTACAAGTCGTCGGCGACCATGGCGTTTACTTCCAAGCAGGCAAAGGATACTGGGCGATGGGTGTTCGGGTGTGGCGCGCAGGACGGGTGAGGTCAGAGGTCAGAGGTCGGGGTCCAGGTCGAGACAGGAGGCCGTCGGGGGTGATTACAAGTACTGCGGTAATGGCAGAGGAGCGACCGGCGCGTCACAGGAGGAATGAAGCTGCAACGAAGGGCAATAACCAGTCCCGCAGCCTTCTTCTGCAGGACACACCAAGTGCGCCAAAACGGGCAGAGTGATGGAATGCCTGGGGCGATCTCGAGCGCGAATGAAGCTCAAGGGACTAGGCTCAACTACGTAGGGGTGGGGGATGCTTGCACCGTGCAGCAACGTCGACCATACAGCGGGAACGGTAATCTCCAGCACTCGTTCCCGGTCTGCCCTACATGGCCCTGGAGCCTCGAGTGGGTGGTGATACGGTGAGTGTGAGTCTCAGCTGAGCGAGGATGACGACTGGGGCTGGATAAGAAGTGCTGCGATGGCATTCGTCGGCGGAAAAACAAGCTGCAACATATGCCTCAAGTATCGAATAGGGCTATGGGCGCCACAGACTGCGAGAGGCTGAGTAATCACGTGCTCTGCGTCGTGTGGGTCCGCGGAAACATCCATGGATGCAGTACGTTGTAGGTTGCTCGGAGCTGTCTAACATGACCAGAGCACATGTCACACACAGTATATGCGCATACAATGCTGCAATCACCTTATACACGAAACAACTTGAACAGGTCTGCGGACTACATCACGACAAAAACCTGCAAAGTGGGTAACCTAACGTCAACGTAGGCTCCAGGGTGTTCAGTTCTTTGCTAGGTTGACTTGCAATCATCGAATTACATACAGTTGTCCCACGCGCATGCCGAGCAAGACTGCTTTTCAACTCGGGGCCGATCTGATCTAATCGCCTAATGCAGGGCGGATCCATGGCGGATGCACCACGTTCGTCCGCCCGGATGACGATGAAACCCAGAGCTCTCCAACAGCGCCCACACCACACTAGCATTAGCATCTCACACCAAAGCTGCCTCCGACGCTCCACTACCACCACACGGAATGCCCGTCTCCAGTTGTATCAGCTAACATCTCCCATTACCTTTCTATTCACTTCCCCACCGCATTCACATCCTCTTACCTCCGCATACTTCCGCGCCACTCCGTTAAGCGCACCTCCCCGTGTTGTATAGAGGCATCCATCAACATGCCAGCGAGCGATTATGACGTCCGCGCCCTTGCGCTCCCTTTAGACGATGAGGAAACAGGCCAGACGCCAATATGGAGCCGACGTCCGCAATCATCCACCTTCCGGCGCAACGCATCGCACCACAGTCAACAGAGCTCATGGCGGCAGCGCGCCATGGACAAGTACGATACACTCTCGCGACGAGTCCTCGATCAATACAACAAACTTTCTCCCCTACAGAAAGTGCTGTTCTTCGTAGGGAACTTGGTGCTGGCAGTGGGCGGCATACTGTTCCTGGTGTACAACGAGCGCATATTCGGGGCTCTGTTACCCGTCGCGAAGAAGTGGAGAGACGTCACGGCTGGATGGCTGATACTCTGGGTCTTGATCTTCATCGTATCATTTCCGCCATTAATTGGGTATTCGAGTTTACTCACCATAGCCGGCTTTGTCTATGGCTTTCCAAATGGGTATGCTTCACACGTTATTCACAACATGTAATCTAACAGTATACCAGTTGGTTCATAGCCGCGACTGCAACCGTCGCCGGCAGCACAGCATCCTTCCTCCTCTCGCGTACCCTCCTCAAGTCCATGGTCCACCGCCTCATAGCCAATGACACGCGCTTCGCTGCCCTCTCCCTTACCCTCAAACACGACGGCCTCAAACTCCTCGTCATGTACCGACTATGTCCGCTACCATACTCCATCTCCAACGGCGCTGTCGCAACCTTCCCCACCGTACACTGGGCATCATACGCTCTAGCCACAGCCATAGTATCACCTAAGCTGATGCTTCACATATTCATTGGCAGCCAGCTCGAGAAGATTGCCGAGAGTGGAGGCAAAATGGACCCCAGCACGAAAGCTTTATCCTACGTTTCCATCTTCATTGGTCTCGTTGCGGGTGTTACCACGGGCTGGCTCGTATACCGCAAGACCAAGGCCCGCG